TTTCTCTTTAAATTTGCCCTTTGATGTAAGCCTCTTTGGGTTCATCTTATTTGGGACTCTGTGCTTCCTGGACTTGTGTTTCTTTTTGTCTTTGCCAGGTTAGAGAAATTTTAAGTTATTATTTCTTCAAATAGGATCTCGATTCCTTGCTTTCTTCCCCTTTTGGTACCCTATAATGAGGATATTGTTACATTTCATGTTGTCCCAGAGTTCCTTTAAACTATTCTTATTCTTTTAAAATTCAATATTTACTGTAATTTAGTCTCCCATTACCATTTAGTCCTCTTATACACCCCTCTCCCTAGCAATCCCCGCACTGTTGTCCATGTGTCCTTTTACCTTTTTGCTCAATCCCTCTACCCTCCCCCCACTAGATATCATCCTGCTCTCCATCTATAAGTCTGTTTCAATTTTCCTTGTTAGTTCAGTTTGTTCATTAGATTCACATATGAGTAAGATCATATGGTATTTGTCTCAAAAGGTAAAATTTTCTTTTTTACGACTGAGTAGTAGTACATTGTGTAAATTCCTCATGGTTGTTTTATCCATTCACCTGCTGATAGACACAAAGACTTAACATTATATCCAAAGCTATAAAAATCATAGAAGAAAACATAGGCCACAAAATCTCAGGCATTGCTCATAGAAGTACTTTATCAGATATATCTCCCCAGGCAAGGGAATCAAAGGAAAAAAAATAAACAAATGGGACTTAATTCAAACTAAAAAGCTTTTGCACAGCAAAGAAAATCATCCACACACAAAAAAGACAACCCAGAGAATAAAAAAACATATTCGCCAATACAGCTGATAAGGTGTTCATATCTAAAATGTATGAAGAACGTACAAATCTCAACACCAAAAAACCAAACAACCCAATTAAAAAATGGTGAAAGGACCTGAATAGACACTTCTCCAAAGAGGACATACATTGGTTAATAGGTATATGAAAATATGTTCAACATCACTAATCATTAGAGAAATACAAATTAAAACCATAAGGAGATAACATCTCACACCTGACAGAATGGCTATTGTCTTGAAGCCATTCAAGGCCAGGCAGGTTCAGATGGGATTCAGGCAGACAGAAGAAAATTCACAGAGCCATGGGAATGCCTAACATACCTTTATTCTGGAGTAGGGCAATGCACGCATGTTGCAAGCTGCATGTCACACAGCAGGCAGTCCCAACTCCCTTATATACTAAATGCACACAAAACCAGCAGAATGCCAAAATATTATATAACAGAGCTTGATCCTGCTCAAGGTTATATAAATGCTGCTAAGCCACAGTTGCCTGGGCATCCAGGTGAGGGAGCCTGACCGACTCCATTTTCCCTACAACTATCTTTAATCAACAAACAAGTGGTGGCAAGGATGTGGACAGAAGGGAATCTTAGTGCACTGTTGGTGGGAATGTAGATTGGTGCAGTGACTGTGGAAAACCATACGGAGACACCTCAAAAATTAAAAATGAATTTGCCTTTGACCCAGTGACCCCACTTCTGGAAATATATCAGAAGGAACCCAAAACACTAAATAAAAGTAACATGAACATCTCTGTGTTCATTGCAGGGTTATTTGTAATTGCCAAGATATGGAAGTATCCTTATTCTTTTTCATTCTTTTTTCTTTTTTTGCTGTGATTGGATGTTTTTTCCTACTTTGTCTTCTAAATTGCTCCTGTTTTATGCAACCTACTTTTTATTCTTTCCAGTGTATTTTTTGTCAGATATCTTAATCCTCATTTTTAATTGGTTATTTTTGTATATCCTCTTTCATGTTGTTCAGCAGCTTTAGAACCATTACTTTGAAATCTATATCTGATAAATTGCTTACCTTCATTTCATGTTGCTCTTTTTTTTGAGATTCCTCTTGTTCTTTCATTTGAGATTTGTTTGTCTGCCTATTTTGTCTGTCTCTTTGTGTGTTTTTTTTTCTATGTATTTAATAGAACTGCAGTGACTCCCAGTCTTCGTGGGGTGGCCTTATGTGGCTCGTGTCCTGTGGAATCCCATGGTACAAGTCTCCTTCATCTCCTGAGCTGGTGTCTAGGAATGTTTCTTGTGTGGTTTATGTGGGCTTCCTGCTATAATTGGGTCCTGATTACTATTAGCCTGTTCATGTCTTGGATCAACCCTCAGTCTAGCTGGCTGGGAGGCTGAACCCCCACCATGGTGTGCAAGTAGCTGTTCTGACAAAAGCAAACCCAACCAAACAAAACAAAATAAAACAAAAAACCAAAAACAACAAAGATAGGGAAAGGGAAAAAAAGTTAAGTAAATAAAAATGTAAAGTGGTAAAAGAAAAACAAGAAAATAATGTGAAAAAGAAATAAGAAAAATGGAAAAATAGAATAAGAAAAGGAAAGAATTAAAGAGAAATAGAAAAGAAAAAGAAAAAAGGCATGGAAAATAAGAAAAGCAAGGAAAAAAAAGAAAAAAGTGGAGTTTGTCTCAGTAGAGCTTAGTGCCTGTTGTGATCTCTCTTTGGATATGCTGTTTATTGAAGCTTGTTGGACCCTGCTCCAACATTATCTGAAGCTAGCCACATGATGTGTTGATTCTGAGCCTCTCAGAAGGGACTCTGATGTAATCCACTGAGAGATGTTATCTATGCTGGCTCAACCTGTTTGAAGTGGTCATGCCGTGGCTTCTTCCTTTCCTTGGATGTGTCTCCTCTTCAGATAGTCTTTTTAGTTGGTAATTCAGGGTGTTCATTCCCCAATTAAGTTCTCGGATGATATGAGAGTAAGGTCCACCTACTCTACCACCATCTTGAAAACCCATGACTACTTTTTTTTTTTAATGATTAAATGGAGAGTCACTAAGTAAAATGACAGTTTTACTGATACCTTTTTTGTTGTATGTATTTATAACAGGTTATATTCTGACCTCAAGATCTTACTATTACTTCCTCAAAGAATGTTTGAGTCAGAGAATAAAGTCCCCCAATGTAGCAGAGACTCCCCAGATGACTTTCTGTAGCAAGGATTAAAGAACTATACCTTTTATTTGTTTATCCCATTATAGTATGCAAAAGAGTTCAAATATAAGGATTATTATCTTCATTTACAGATAACAAAAGTGAGGTTCAGAAACCCTTGCTGCCTGCTGAAAATCCCCTCCTGGAGACATAGGGTTCTGCAGTCCACGTTTTTGTTTCTTGCCAGTTTAATGCTGTTTTCTTCAGGGCATGTGACTCTAATCCTGTGGCACCTGTAATAATCCCTAAGCGCCCAGATAAGTAAACACCCATCCAAGCTTTTCATCATCATTTCTAAGTTTATTATAATTTCTGTAGGGTTTAGGACCAGCTTCTTTCTTGACCTAAATAATTACCTAAATAATAATTGTTGAAATATATACTTGTTCACAAACACAATCAATAAAATGAATATAGATTTAAAGTATTATTATGGAAATATTTCTAACTCAGAAAACTGAATTACAAATGATTTTAAATTTATATTTTTAATAACTATTTTATAGTTTAAACTATTTGACATAATATTATTAAAATATTCTTTAAAACATGAAACCTTATTTGAAAAATTAATAAAATTATTGTAACCACTTTTTACATGGATTTCAACTTAAATATTTATAAAACCTAAAAACTAATTTTACAAAGTCAAATTCATGGACCATTAATTTTAACCACACATCATGGGTAGATGAATGAACCAAAGATTCAAATAGCTCTCTGGTTATTGTTTTTTTATAACAGTAATTTTTTCCAATAATTGCATTCAGTGTAGGATTATAACAAAATTGGGCTTGATTTGGGTGTTTTTATATACCATTGTTAAAAGAATACAAAAATAGGAACCACTTTGCATTCCATGCAGATCATCATGGAAGGTCATGAAGTTAGTAAATATACAGCCTCTTTCTTCCCTGACCTGAAACAGAAACGTATGATGTTAGGTCATAGGATTCTGGAAATCCTAGTCACTTTCAGTAATTAAAAAAAGCCACTAGTCAATGCTTTCTGACAATAAGGACAAAAGTATGGGTAAAGAAACTAGTAGAAACATTATCTCTGATTATTTGCTTTTAATGAGGATATATTAAATTCAGTTTACTTTTCCAAATTATTCTTGCCCTGGCTTGTGTGACTCAGTGGATTGACCACCAGCCTGGAAACCAAAAAGGTTGCCAGTTCATTTCCCAGTAAGGGCACATGTATTGGTTGTGGGCCAGGTCCCCAGTTGAGAGCATGTAGGAGGCCACTGATTAAAGTTCCTCTCACACATTGATGTTCCTCTCTTTCTCCCACCCTTTCCCTCTCTCTGAAAATAAATAAAATCTTCAAAAATTGTTTTTAAATTATTCTCTAGAGAGAATTTGTACTAAAAATCTTCATACAATTTTAGAATTCACTCAGAAGCAACTACATGTTTAAATGAGCTTAAAAAATTTAGTATATTATACAGACATTTTAGAGTCCGAAATGGTTTAAAACATTATTTTCTCAAACTTTTGACCATACCCCGCAGTGAGAAATGTTTTATATTATGACTAATACATATATAAACCTATGCATTTTTTGTGCATATATAACTGATACAATCAATATATTTACTGCAAACAATGAAATCTGATATTTTGTATCTTTTTATATACTGTTCATATTTTCTTTTCTGTATAATGCACAGTAGTTAAAAGTTGAATTTCTACAAGTACACTACTTATACCACACACTGTGATACATTGGGGGGGGGTCCACACCTCAGAAACTGTACTTGGTTTGCAAGGTCAGGTGGTATTAACTGGGCTTAATTCAGTTGTGAAAATACACAAGGACTTTCCCCTGGTGGCTGTGCAGGAAGTTACATCTGGAGCCACTGTCTGAGGAAAACCCCTCAAGAGATGGATTCAATCCAAAAACAATATAAAAGTGCAGTGGAGACCATAGTCTGTTTTTTTTAATACAGAATTTAAGATGCACAGGGACAATGAATCATTCTATTGAAATGATTAAATTTTTCCTTGCAGGTATCAAAAATATGACTATATCACAGCCGAATTGTAACAGGAATGTGTCTCTGTCAAAACAAAAGTAAGTTCCCCTTTCCAATTAACTCAGAGCAAACAATACACTCTCATTATTAGTTGTGCAGCTTTCATAATGTTAATAAAATTTTTAAAAAAGCAATTTGTTGAAAAGGTTAGAATATTATTATTATTAGCTTTATTTTTATCAAACTTGAAAATTATTAGTAATACATTTGACATAAGGATGTAAAATCCTGTGTTTTACATTTTAAACAGACTTCAGATGACTGATTTTTTAATACTAGATTTATAGAAACATGGTATGATGTTTGCTTGTAGGTGTTAAATGTTTAAACTGATATTATTTATTTTCCTGTGTTATTATTGTTGATTATTTCAGCTTACAAATTTTGAGGTAAAGAATGATTTAGTTAATCATAGGGTAGAAATGTTGAGCAGTTTGCCCAGTAAATTGTGTGGTCTATCCCCTGGCAGGTAACATATAATACCCTGTCCCTGGTTCACTGAATTACAGAAGTGAGGAGGTTGAAGAGAAAGGTGATAAAGGAACAGCACCATATGCTTCTTCCTGCCAGGCCCACTGCTAGATTCGTTTGGTATATACTTTCCCCAGTAACTCTATAATTCACATATAAGGAATCCATTACAGAAGCGAACCAGAAACTGAAGTGTTAAAGTAAACCTGAGCAATGGCCATATTGCTAGTACGTGGCAGAGCTAAGTTTGAAATTCATATTTGTTTCATTATCATACTGTCCTCTATGACACAGAGTATATGGTGTCTTAGCTTTATTTAGCCTTATAGATGGAGAAGGAAAGGGAAGAGTAAGGAGACTGGAATGTAGTAGGTCAAAGTGGATTTCTTCTTGGTGAATAAAATTTTATCCTATTAAGGAAAATGGTGAATAAGAGTTATCAAAATCTTAGGAAAGTGGGTTGTTATATTAAATGAAATTTAAAGGATTTTTAAAACAATTTTTCTACTGCACACCAAAGTTAAAACAAGGCATTATGTCTAGATTTCCATATTGGGAATTGTATTGTGCCTCTCACTATAAAAACTCTTTTCTAAACTTTGTGTTAGGTCTTTAGAGAATGATCTGTCCTTGACATTGAACTTGGATCACAGACTCTGTCTGGATTCAGATGATGAAGCAGACCTTGTCAAGGAACTTCAAAGTATGTGCTCTAGCAAATCTGAATCAGATATAAGCAAGGTAAGCAGAGCAAATTAGGGGGGCATTAAATGGCTCCACCTAACAGCAGAAAGACTTCTTGGAGCCACATTATACCTTCATTCCCTGAAAGAAATTACTTATGAAATAGCATGGTTAATGCTCCAGATCAGAATAACCCTATCCTTGCTCAGAAAAGCCCTTTATTCCAAAATACCATTTATATATAATAAGGGATCTCTACTTAAGCTCAACTATTGCATTTGACAAGTCATAATCTCTAGAACCAAGTAGCATCACCTATCTCATTTAACCTTCTGAAAAATGAACTGAAACCCTTATCCACTGGAAAAAATAATGAATAAAAATTTACAATTTTTACATTCTTTGTTTTTTTGCCAACTAATTTTTATAGGACTATTCTGCTCATTTCCTTCTGACTTTTTAAAGTAGATTCTCTTCCCTTAAAGGCTGTTTCTCATGCATTTGCTGTTAGTTCACAGGAAGACTTCAAGTCTGCTGTGTGAACAGTATAAGACTTGAGGATATGTTCTGTAGAGCTACTGCACATCAGGGAACAAGAGGGTGCCTAAATAGTGTCTTAAGTGTGTCACAGTGTAACTGTGAAAACATGACTTGATTAATTGTATTTTCCAGATTGCAGATTTCAGGGGTGATGTAAGGAGGTTTGATAGTCCAGGAAACAACCCTACATTTTCAGCAACTGTTAATAACCTAAGAATGCCAGTGTCACAAAAGGTAAGTGTTCCTTTGCCTTCAAAATCAAGCAAACAGGAATTGCTTTGGAATTGACTTCAAAAATCTTCTTTTAATGTAAATGACAAAATTATTTTCAAACCACAACTATGATGAAATAAGAAATAGAATTAAGGTAAATGTGTTCATTAGTTAAGCAAAGTTAGAAAGTTTGTTTGGATAATAGCTAGAAAGAATAATCAGAAAAGAATAACTATTTTTTAACTTTCTTTTTGATACCTAAACTTTTACTCAGAAATTTTAGGTGTCTTTTGAGGTCTTCATTTGTGTATGTCAAAACTGGAAATAATGTAATTTGTGTCTTCTTGGTTGTTCCATTTTAAATGTATTGTTTTTCATTTGAGAAATTTTAAGATTTCCTGCACTTTAGAACTTTGGAGTTAATTATAGCAAAGGACTGAGTGATAACATAAAGATCTTTTTACATGTTAAAAAAATCTCATTTTTAGTTTAGTTTCTTAACTTGCCCTAACATGCACTATCTCAGTGAGAGGCTTTCCTTTAAAAACAAGTCAGAATGTCAAACTGAAGAGCCAGAATTTCCAAAGACTTCATCATTAACCTCTCAAAATAACTTCTGCAATTGCTTAATAAATGCCAAAAGATGGGCCAGCATGGTGCACCTGAGTAGAGAGGAACAGTAAAACTACATCTCATCCACTAGTTATTTTGTGAGGATGCAGATTTCATAGAGGCATTTAGGATTATATGCTTTGCTTACCAACCTGTGTTAATGGGGTTTACATCCTGTTCTCATCCTCTCATACAGTGGCTCAGAGACCTATGAGGGTTGGGGGGAGTGCACAGAGCAGGATTATAAAGCAAATGCAGTGAGACCATTAAATTATTAATCCTTATCTGATCACCTGAGAGCCTTGAGCCCTTGGGTCCATGTTCTCTCCCTGCTTTGTTAGGTTTCAGTTCTGATGAGTTATCTGTGAAACTGTTGTGTGTGTTGGGGAAAGAAGTAGGGGTCAGGAGGTATTGGCAAGACTAAATCCCACATACAAATACATCACATGACTATCTGTGAAGATGAGTGTGAGCTTTCTGGCTCACTTCATCATGTCTGCTTTTTCTTTCTTCAGTTGGGAACAGTTTAGTAGCACAGCATAGTTTGGAGAGCATATAAGGGAGGGTGAAAGCAGGTGACCTGGGGTCACTACTGAGAATTGTTCAGGAGCTGTCACTGACCTTTGGCTCAGAGCACCTTTCTTGGGCCTCCAGGACCGCTCTTCAGGATTCCTTGTGGGATAGGCAGTGGAAGGAGCCATGAAGGTCTAGGAAGAGGAACAATGAGCCACCGTTTCTCCACAGGGCTAAGTCACTTTCTATAGAAAAATGCTGACTGGTAGTGACTGGCTGCCTTTGTTTACATGTTCAATGGAGACAGTTTTGTACCCCTACTTCTCTGTCACATGAACATGTCCAGTTGCTACAATAAGGTACTACCTATAAAAAATAGTACCGAAAGTGGGATAAGTTCTGGGAAGCTCAGGGCTGCTTTGTTTTAAAAGGGACACTTTTTAAAAATGGGTTCTTTTATGCTCTCTGGGCTGTTAAAAATAGAACCATGTGCTTGTTGAAATGTGATTTGATGGAACCTTAGGTAGGAGACACTTCCCCAATGGTTGGAAAGTGTGTTTCCCAGAAGCTGCCAGCAGAGGGCAAAGTAGCACTCACTTGGCAACCTTCTGACTATTTGGCAGGCTAATTCCCTTTCCTCAGCTGGCATTTCTTGGTCAGATGCCCAGTTTCTTCTGTTATCAGGAAGTAATTCCCTTTAGAAGTAAGAGCTTTCTGGCTTACTAGAAATCATTTATCCTGTGTAGCCCTAAAGGAGCTTAGCAGCCACCATCATACACTGGAACACAAGTTTCAGTAAATTACCCTCCTACTCTTCATTTGTCACGATACAATTCCTTACTACTACAGCAGTAAGAGAACATAGTGGGGTTTATTAATTGCATGGCATGTTAGCAACCCTTCTAAATTAGAAAAACAGCACACACATAAATTGTCAATAGAAGGAGCAGATACTAACAAATGTTTTCTTCTCATGAAAATGCAAATTAATCGCCCTAAAGCAAAAGCTATTTTTGGTTATTACATAAGTAAATCCACTTGAGGATATCTTTTTATTCCTCAGTGCTTGGCCCATGTTCCCTAAAGGTTCTGATGTAATTCATCTGAGGTGCAACATTGACAATGAAGTTTTTAAAAGCTCCCTAGTGGTTCTTAGGTGGAGCTGAGGCTTGCTTAGACTCATGGCTTTAAAACAGCTCTGTCATCCTTATTTTCCACCCCATTCCTTTCCTCTCAAATGTATCTTTAGAGGGGTTGATACACCTTCATGTAACTTATTTTTAGATGTAATTTTCTATTTGCATACCCTACACCTCTCCTTGTCTGTCCACCCTTTCTCCTACCCATGGAACCCTTTCACTCCTCTTCACCTGTCACAATCCTGTACATCCTTGAAGTGCCATCTGCAATGCCATCATCCCTACAGCATTTTCCCTTACTTCCTGCCCCCTACTTTTCCATCTGGAGAGCAGAAATTATAACATTCTCTTAGCTTCCGGCAGATGTTCAGTATTGAGTGAATGAAAGAACAACTATAATTTAACAATATTTCTTTCAGACTACTAATGGGCAGTGCCTTGCTATACAAACTGAGGTTTTCTTCGAGCCAGGTATGCACAGCACTGATAGTAACCATATATGTTTTTAACACAGAGAACGCTTGGATTTTAGCTCAGGAAGCAGTAAACACCTTTAACTTTCTTAGCTCTGGTACTTCTTAGTTGTGGGGAAAACACCTCAAAACCTGTGGTTGGCTGCCAGAGTCTCAGGAACATTGCTGTGTGTGTATCAGTCATTTGCCCTATTCTTATACTCTCAGCCCTGAATTAAATCATTTGCCTCACTCAGCAAGTGATTTTCTACACTCTCCTGTCCTGTCCTCCTACCTCCAAGGACTGGTTCAGCTCCATATATCCATGCCCAGCTTCCACACCCCACCCACATTTTTAACTGTTATTGGTGCTTCCTGGTACTTCAGTTCACATGAGCATTTCCTGCCTCTTATCATAAAGATGCAGTTCCCTGCCCGCATGATGCAGATGAAGCGGCAGACAAGTAAACAACACATCGTGAGTTGCCTTCACTCTACCTGGGCCTTGGCACTAGCTCTGATTTCCAGAAAGTCAAAGATTGTGGCAAAATTTTTATAGTTACACCACCTCTCTTCCTCATGAATTCTATATACTTACGCATTAGCTGTTCTTTGTATTATAACATGTTGTGTCTTCTGAATACTTTGTGTGTTGAATTTAGTTTTAGACTAAATTACAAAGTGGGATTTGCCTTACTAGGCTGGTGAGTCAGTCACATTTTACAGATTTACGAAGACACCCAGGAGAATCCAACTATCAGCTGAGGCCAAATTGTTCCTTTCCATTAAGTATTTTAAGTTCTAGTTTTACATTTTAAATCTTTTAAAGATGACATTGCTGTTTGGTTGTGTTATTACTTTTAAATTTAAAACTAGGGAAAGTAATCAATGTTAACTGCTTCAGAGGCATTTGGAGCAGCTCACTCAGCAACTCACTTCACTGTTGCTGGTTGCTGGAATTTAACACAATACCAGGGAAGACACCTTGAGTAAAAGTTGGGAGCATGAGGCCTTGTGCCAGCTTCATCCCTGTGTGACTCTGGGCAGATAATCTTACCTATCCAGTGCTCAGTTTCCTTGTGGGAAAAATGAGAGACATGGACCAGATGGTCATAAGAATTCTAAAACAAACACTGGAGAAATGAGAGCAAGCCCAGAAGATTTGGAGCCACCTAATCATAGCGTTGCTGCACAGAACCTACACTACTGTGTGGGCGCCATTAGAGCAAGGGCATTTCTCTCTTGTGTTCTCTGCTCTATGCCAGGCACCTAGCTAGCACAGTGCTCATCTTAAAATTAATGCTCAAAAAATATTTGTTGATTACTATTGAATATTAGTCCAACTTTTACTTTATAGATCTGAAAGTAGAAAGCAGAAAACTTAGGTGACTCACTCAGAAAAGGTAGGTGATAGTCGATTTGTACAGCTGCCTACATATAGTTGGTCCAGTTTGATAATTTCTGTGAAGCTCCTCTTGGTGAGGAAATCCCAGACTCTTTGGCATTTGCTTCACTGACTCCTGTATCTCACACTTTTCTTACACCACAAAGGGCCTGATGAAAATCACTAAGTCTTTAGGAAGTTAATTGTTCAACAACTTCTCTCCATTGTCTTTTTAACTTTGTTTTGGGAGAAACTCCCACATGGGTGCTCAGATAAAGAGAGGAAGAAGTGTTAGGACTGATACTAAAAGTTGGTAACACTGTCAAATGTGACACTTGTTTTTTGTATATCTTCTCTCACAGGAGGTCAGTCCTCTCAGCAGCCATCAAACTATGGAATGCAGCAACAGTAAATCAAAGACTGAGTTGGGTGTTTTAAGAGTTAAATCTTTTCTTCCTGTTCCCAGAAGTAAAGTTACTCAGTGTTCCCAGAGCACCAAAAGAGGCAGCAGCAGCAGTAATACAAGGCAAATAGAAATAAACAACAACTCAAAAGAAGAGATTTGGAACTTACACAAAAATGAACAAGTACAAAAACCTAACAAATAGGCCTGCCTACAATATTCTCTCTCTTAACTTCAATATATTTCAAACATAAACCACGGACAACAAGATGTAAATACCTTTAAATGAATAAAATATTTTCACAGCAATATGAAGTATGAGTGCAGGACCACTATTCAATTGTTTGTAAAGAATGTATTTATAACCAACATTTTGTTGTTTTTTTTCTAGTTCTGTAGGGTCGAACTTCAATATCAAGAAGTTATGCCAACGTTCCAAGTAGTTGTAGAATAGAATTATTGTAATAGTTTTAATCAACATGTTCAGGGGGTATTAAAACAAAACTGTGTACCATGTATCTGTATATATGTATATATTTAAGAAAGTCCATGAATCATATTGCATACTACATGTTATAAAATGTGTACAGTGTTGACTTGGATAAAGTGTGCCATTTTAAATGGAGATCATAATTTTATGTTCACTTGATAAGGAACGACTAGAATGAGGCAATAACTTAATCATTTCTAAACAGTTATTTTCCATTAAAAGCCATATTAAGTATTTTGCCTGTTAAATTCTAGTTTTATATTTTAAATCTTTTAATAGTTACATTGCTGTTTGGTTGCATCATGTATATTTATGCTCATGAGTTTGCATTGTGACTGTAAAATATAAAATTATATAATGCAATAAAAAGGTTATCTTTCTTATAAAAAGTTTTGTATGTAAGTGGATATCAAAAAGAATTGTGTAAGTGCTTCAATAAATTAATTTGAGTTAATTCCCTTTTCAATTTAATTCTAGTAGTATAATTGATACTTTCTAGAACTGTTTCTTTTTAAATTACTTAATGAAATTACCCTTATACAACTCAAAGTTAAGATGCTTTGACATCAAATAAAATATTGAATTAGTGAAATAATTTTGCTGCAATTTTTTGTCTACAGCTCAAATTATTCTTGGTCAGAATGGTTAACACTGAAGTACACACAATGCCTTTCTGCTATATTAAACTCAAATTACTACAAATACAGTATCTTAAAAAAATATGTAGTCCAGATTATGCCATAAGGGATGAAGTGGAGAAAAGCCTACCAGGAAAGAACTCAGTTCTAATACATGTCAACATTCGGCCTGGGCTTTACCACTGCAAGGAGAATCCTGGAGGTGTACAGCTTAGACCATGTGTACAGAGAAATGTGCATTGAGGTGGGTGGGTGGGTGGGTGGGTGGGGGGAAGAGGCTAGAGAAAATAGTCTTAGGTTTGAACACAACTCCTTTGAGCTGAATTCAAGTTCTTGGTGCTCCATGGTATTTGATACTCTTAAGTGTTTCCACAAGAAGACTAATCTTGGGAACAAAACTCTCAAAATCAGACCAATACCTAATGTGTTTCCTTCTGCTTACAGACACCTGCTTAGACTATATCCATTTTGAATTCTTAGTGATTAGTCATTGCGTTTTACATTAGCCTCTTTTCTGAAGATAAAGATCCCATTAGTATACTAGGGACCAGAGAAAACACAACCGAAATCAGAATACATTATTTAGAAGACATATAGTAGCTGATCCATGCAGTTTTGATTTGTCAGTAAAATTCTCTATGTGCAGTTTTGATGATGGAATAGCAGACTGCAAGATGTCTAAAGGCATTTAGATCTGGGGCTTTCAAATGACAGGTACAGACCTACCGTCATTATAGAAATTAAGTGAGTCACTACTAGCAAGGTTTTTGAAGAAAAAAACAGATGACAGAGAACATTGCAGTTTCATAGTCAATAAAAGTAAGAACTGTTTGTGAAGCTTTTGTTTCCAGCATGCAGATGTATGAATACACATACTGGGTTGTGATGTCATGGCCAAAAATCTTTGAAAGGCTATACCACATAAGGGAACCTAGTGGTGGGGCTGGGTTGTTTGGGAGGTAAAAAGGTCATTAGTGATAAACAAATTTGGGGCTGAATTAAACACTGCCATTTATTAGCTCTGTGGCCAAAGAAATTATTTAATGTCTGATCTAGTTTTCTCAGTAGTAAAATAGGATTGTGTTAACCCTATAAGTTGTCCATAACCATGAAATGAGGTAACAACAAAATGTTCCTAGTTACCACCCTCACTGATAAAATAGTCATTTCCTCTATTTTGCAACCATACTCAACCAATTCTATGAGCATCCTGATTACCAGAGGTTTGAACTCTGCATCTGATAGGTTGGCTATTTCCTCATTGTTTAGTTATTTCTCTGGAATATTGATCTGTTGTTTCATTTGGGCTATATCTCTTTGTATCAGCACACCAGTCTGGATGAATGTTTAACTCTTTGGTTGTCAGACTTCCATACAGTTCTGGTCATTTTTAGTTTTTAAATTTTTTTGTTACCCTTCTTTTAGGTGTGTAAGGAAGCAAAATGTATGTATCTCTACCTCCATCTTGGCTGGAAGTCCCACAAATACATTTTTTCCTGGGCAGTTAATAATAATTAAATTCAGTTGCCTAGCCCTAGCTATCGCATGGTTTAGGCACCAGCTGTTAGCAACTATGACCAATTACACAAGTTAGGTGATGCTTTCTGAATTCTCTCACAGTCCTTTTGCAAAGTCATTTTTCTCAAAAAGTAAAAGATCCCATAGGTGTCAAAGGTGTAATTAGTGAATAGATATACTCACTTTAGCTTGTTTTTCTTTTTACTGTGAATAAATATGTTTAGTTGTGGACCAAGATGTCAGTTAAGTGTTAGTTTGAGAGAAGGGACACATTGAGAAGGGATATGCACAATTACACACTATATCCACTCTGCCTGTAATAGTCAAGACATTTGAATATCAAGAGGCAGGAGCTAAAATTCTAACTACAAAGCTAACTGAGATGATACTTAATATCTTAGGGCTTCAGTATCTTCAGTGGATGTTAGAGAATTTTTCTTGTTCCCAGAAAGATAAGCACAACAGAAAACCTGAAATTCTGATAGTCATTTCTATACATTCTCATACCTTATAAAGGTATCAGCTAAATATACCATTAAAGTTATTTGAGTTATAGTTTCAGAAAATGAGGAAAATATTTCTCCTGAGCTAATTCAAAAGTTTGCATCTATTCAAAGTGCCCTCAGGGACTGGGGGGTAAAGGTACCTTCTGTTTTGGAACTTATAGTCTATTAGGGTGAGACAGTGAGTAAATGAATAAACCAAATTAATTTCATGTCCTGTATGTTCTTTTAAAACATCAATAGAGTGATGAGACAGAGCTCTTGGTAAAGGTCATGGAGAAAAAAATACTTCAGGGAAGAATAATTCAAGGAAAGGTCTCCAAGAGACCAAACATTTACTTTGATACCTGAGGATGAAAGGGATTAAGGAATGTAGAAGCCAGGGAGAGAGAGCACCGGCAGCTGCTCTAAAAAAAGTAATAAATAGGAAGGAGGCCTGTGGGCCGGGAACACATTTAGCCACAAGAAAAAGAAGAGACAAAGGTGAATGGTTTGACAGATACTGGATTCTGGAAGGCTCTGGAAAGAATCTGTATCACAATGAGAAGTAACTGAATGGTTTTAAGCAACTGTCAGACATTCATTTATATTTTTAAAAGACTGTTTACAGTTCAGTAGTGTCCAAAATATAATATTAGCCAAGAATGTGAGTCACATATATATATATTTTTTTAAATTTTCTAGTAGCCACATTTTTTAAAGTTAATTATAACAATGGTACATGTTATTTAACTCACTATATCCAAAATATTAGCATTTCAAAAACTAATCAATGTAAAATATTGAGATACTTTAAATTATATTTATAATAAGTCTTTAAAAGTAGACTAAAGTTTACATAAAAAATGAAGACTATTATTTTTAGATAAATGAAAGTTTGCTCTCATCAGATCTCACTACAAGAAATATCAAAGGAAGTTCTTCAGATAAAATGATTTATTCCTAAGCAATATTTGGACTACAGTAAATAATATTGTGATAGGTTTACACAGTGATAGATGATTAGTCAAATTAGTGAGGTGATCACATTGTAAGTTATCAAAATGCCAAATCACTATATTGTCTACCTGACATTAATATAACCAATATAAGATTATATTCCAAGTACACTTAAAATAAACAAAAACACTTGGACCTTAACCCTCAAAATGAGCAGTGCCAGAAATCACATGTGAGTAAATAAAAGCTTTTTAAATTATCTAAAAGATAATTGTTTAAAGGAAAAAAGTAACAATCAATGAATTATGGAGTTTATGACATGAAAGTAAAATGTATGACAACGATAGCACAGGAGATGGGATATGTTGAGGGAAATAGTAATTGTGGTAACTGTGATTCTTACAGTACACATCACAGGTGTCAAAATCATTTTCACGAGGGGCCACATCAGCCTCAGGGTTGCCTTCAAAGGGCCAAATCTAATTTTAGGACTGTATAAATGTAAGCAGTCCTTAACAGTTAAGTGAGAGTTTGGCACTGCCACCTGATAGAAACAAGGTGCCAGGCTGGATACAATAAGGCAGAGGGCAAGATTCGGTGCATGGGCCTTGTGTTTGCCACCTGTGGTATATGTGAAGTGTTGAAATATTATTTGAAGGTACAAGGTAATGAATTAAATAGAAACATTGCCAACTGAAGATAAACTACTAAAACATACCTAGCAAATCAACAGTGTAGATAAAGTTGAAATAATAAAGAATAATCAATTAACTGAACACAGAAACCAAACATTTTACAAGAAAACCAATAATCCTCATGGACAGAGATACAAACATATTTAATAAAATAATAGCAAATAGAATTCAGCAGCACATGTTCATAGGAGAACAATTCACAATAGCCTAGTGCTTGAAGCAACATGGAATACCCATCAGTAAATGAGTGGATCAAAAAACTGTGGTACATTTACACAATGAAATACTACACAGCAGAAAGTAAAAAGGAGCTGCTACCCTTTGCAACACCATGGATGGAACTGGAGAGCATTATGCTAAGTGAAACAAACCAGGCAATAAAAGATAAATACTATATGATCTCACCTATAAGTGGAACCTAATCAACAAAACAAACAAGTAGCAAAATACAACCAGAGACATTGAAATAAAGAACAATCTGACTAGCTAGACAGAAGTGGGGAGAAGGATAATAGGGAATAATGGGGTGCTATCAAGGAATATGTATGAAGGACACATGGACAAAGCCAAAGGGGGTGGGTTTGAGGGTAGAAAGCAGGGATGGGTGGGGGGGGGGTTCGTGGTAGGGTGAAAATGGAGACAATTGTACTTGAATAGCAATATAATAAAACGTACTACATCATATCCAACTGAAGTTTGTACCAGAAACGCAAAGTTTGATAAACATTCAAAAATCAGATGCATTTTCCTTGGGGCATGCTCACTTGAATCTTTTTGAGTGAATCTTCTTTCTACTAAACTCTAAGGGTCCCCATAAGACTTGCTATCAGGGGAGCAATAGGCAGTGATAGCTTGGCCCAGACTAACACCGTGATCATGTCTTTAATGCCATCTTTTTTCTGAATTTCTAGATAGCCAGAGCCTCCAACTTGGGCTCTCTTTTATCGCTTCATCTGCCCTAGGCCTTCCCTTGTTTTACTGTATCCAGCTTTAATAAATGTTCTCTGAAAATTACCTGGACTCATGTTATGAAATCTTTCCTGCATGGAGTCTAGAACCCACATCCTACT